GAGAAACAGAGGGACATGGGGACACAGAGGGACACAGAGGACATAAAGGACACAGAGGGACATGGAGGACATGGGGACACAGAAGGACACAAGAAACAGAGGGACATGGGGACACGGAGGGACATGGAGGACATGAAGGACACAGATGGACATGGAGGACATGGGGACACAGAAGGACACGAGAAACAGAGGGACATGGGGACACAGAGGGACACAGAGGACATAAAGGACACAGAGGGACATGGAGGACATGGGGACACAGAAGGACACAAGAAACAGAGGGACATGGGGACACGGAGGGACATGGAGGACATGAAGGACACAGATGGACATGGAGGACATGGGGACACAGAAGGACACGAGAAACAGAGGGACATGGGGACACAGAGGGACACAGAGGACATAAAGGACACAGAGGGACATGGAGGACATGGGGACACAGAAGGACACAAGAAACAGAGGGACATGGGGACACGGAGGGACATGGAGGACATGAAGGACACAGATGGACATGGAGGACATGGGGACACAGAAGGACACGAGAAACAGAGGGACATGGAGACACAGAGGGACATGGAGGACATGAAGGACACAGAGGGACATGGGGACACAGAGGGACATGGAGACAGGACTTGGGACAGAGGGACATGGGGACACAGAGGGACATGGAGGACATGAAGGACACAGAGGGACATGGGGACACAGAGGGACATGGAGACAGGACTTGGAGGCAACAGATGGACATGGAGGACATGGAGACACAGAGGGACGTGGAGACAGGACTTGGAGGCAACAGATGGACATGGAGGACATGGGGACACAGAGGGACGTGAAGGACACAGAGGGACATGGGGACACAGAGGGACTTAGAGACAGAAGGACTTGGAGGCAATAGATGGAGATGGAGGATGTGGAGATACGGGGACATGGAGGACACGGGGACACAGAAGGACATGAGAGACAGACATGGGGACACAGAGGGACATGAGGACAGAGAGGGACATGGAGGACATGGGGACACAGAGGGACAAGGGGACTTAGAAGGACTTGGAGGCAGTGGATGGACGTGGAGCACATGGAGATACAGGAGGACATGAGGAACACGGAGGGATAGGGGGTGACAGAAGGACACGGGGACACAGAGGGACATGGGGACATGGGGACGCAGAGGGACATGGAGACAGGACTTGGAGGCAATAGGTGGAGATGGAGGACATGGGGACACAGAAGGACACGAGA